TGTGCACCCTAAAGATTTAAAGTAGAGCCGGGCAGTGGTGGCACACGCCTTTAATCCCAGCACTCGGGAGGCAGAGGCAGGTGGATCTCTGTGAGTTCGAGGCCAGCCTGGCCTACAAAGCGAGTTCCAGGACAGCCTCCAAGACAATACAGAGAAACCCTGTCTCGAAAAACCAAAAAAAAAAAAAAAAAAAAAAAAATCCTCATAAAGTTACCCTTCAGGACTAGAGAGATAGCTCAGTGGTTAAGAGCATTGACTGCTCTTCCAAAGGACCCGGGTTCAATTCCTAGCACCCACATGGCAGGTCACAACTATCTATAATTCCAATTCCAGGGGACCTTACACCCATGGCAAAACACCAATTCATAAAAAAGAAAAAAACAAATAAAAAATAAATTATAAAAGAGAAAGTTCACTCCCCTAAGCAAAATTGAAGACAAACCCCCATTACCCGGTTCTTGGCAGACTGAAGCGTTGCTGCTGATTATCATGGAAATGGTAAATAGAAACACACAAAGCATGTGCTCCTTAGGCTTCTGCCTTGTAATGTAAATGCAAAAAAGAAAAGATTACCTTCCAAGATAGGTAATAAACTAACTGGCCCTTTCTTTGTAACTGCAAAATTGCAGCCTATCAGTCAGTAAATGACCTGACTGAGAAGAATACCTTGCTTGCTCACATTGTTAATCTATAACGTTTTGCTTGGGTTCTTAGGATAATTTGTTTTTTCACCTGTGAAAAGTAAAATGATTAGTCATGTCAGGGATATGGAAAACATGCTGTTTAGTTTTTACCGTTTGTTTTGTATTCATTGTAATTGTTCACTTGAAAAACAGAATGTAACCACACTGTAATTCCTATATTGCCTGAAAAACTTTGTTGGGGTATATAAGCTGTAGATAAAAAAGTATACAATAGAAAGAACACAGAACATAAGAATAGAGAATAAAGAAGGATACCATCAAGAGAGTGTGAGTGTCTTTTTTTCCTAACCCCTCAGATAGAAAAGACTAGTATACACCAACGCTGTGAATCCCTTTTGAGTGTTGTGCTGTCTGGAGGCTGGCCCCTAGCAGCAATTGTGTGTGTGTGTGTGTGTGTGTGTGTGTGTATTTCCTTTTTTTATAATATTACTGAATGGGAAAAAAAGAAATAAAAAGGAAAGGAAGGCCATAACTGTTCCTAGATATGATGGAGAAGAAAGTTTATTGCAGATAAAAGGGAGTGCATAGAGAGGCAGGGACGTCTGGGAGAGTCTAGAGTGGATATGACCAGGCTCACCTGGGCCATGTGGAGAGCTGAGGGAAGGAATGGGTGGGGAACGAGGGACAGCAGCCAGGAGGCCAAAGGTACAAAAGAGACTGGTAAGCAAAATGTCTGGATTATATAGGAAGAACCTCTGGGGGAAAGGGCAGCCCTGGCCTCTGGGCTGGAGAGTTCAGGGTAGAGGGTAGGGTTTGCCAGCCATACCCCTTACTGGGAATGCTGGGAGAAACTGGTAGTCAAGTCCACTTTGATATGTTAAATAGGCACCTCAGTGTTTTTTTTCCTGGGTTTGAAACTTAACATGTACTTTGGTCCCTTTTCAGTCAGTAGGCCTGTGTTCCATTGTTTTGAGGATCTCTCTCTTAAACACAAGCCACACACAAGCTGTTAGACTCCCAGATGACTGGGAAGCAGGGAGCATCTTTGCTTGTGTGTGGCTAGGCTAGCAGCTGAGACTGCTTGCCTCTGCCTTTAAGTGTCTTGGTTATTGTAAACTTTTTGGGCTACTTGGATGAGCTGAAATGTATTTATTCTTGTTAAGCTCTCTAGCTTTTGGAGTTTTTTGCACATGTCTGGAGTTGATGGAGTGACAAAAAACCAAATTTAATGTCCTAGTGTTTTTTGTTTTGTTTTTTGAGTCAGTGAATCAAAAGTGGTGTAAAATTTGAAAGCTTTTTTTTTTTTTTTTGTAATCACTCAGGAAATGTCCTGGTTTGAGCTCTGAAGAACCTTAGCAGTCTTAAACAAATCATTGGGTTTTTGGAGCTGTACCCCGAATTACAGTCATATGGTATCAATGAAAATTGTCCAGGGCCTGGGACCCTGCATGTGTACTGGATTTCTAACCAGAGTGTTTGGATAAAAAAAGCTGCTTCAAAAGACAGTAGCTTTCAGCATCAGTACCAGTGGCTGAGACCAAGAACCTCCCTTGATCTGATCTGCCCCATATGGTCCCCTTCCTCTCAAGTAAACAGAGTCAGGTATTGCTGGCAATCATCCCAGGGTGACGGGGTGTGGAGGACAGATTCCAGGAGGACAGTTAGGAATTGGGGGCTATCAGAAAAGGCAGAAAGGGGTCTGGGTCTTCCAGTTATACAGAGCTGGATTAGAGACAGGAACATACATCAGGAAAGGGCAATGCCCTTCCTCTAAGTCTTTGTCCCCTGTCCCAGGAGGAAGTGGGGGCCTGCTGCAAGGGAAAAACAGGCTGGGACCTGAGTCAGTCAGGGTCAGGGCTGCTCTCAAGTGTAAGAGGTTGGGGAAAATGGCCACCAGAAGGACAGAAATGGCCACACAGGGGAGGGAACGAAGGGTGTAGATCTGGTAGGGGAAGTGGGTGAGGCAGAGAAGGGGACAGGGTGTGGATGTGGATAGAGCAGGGTGAGACACCCTGGAGGGGCCTCAGGTTAGGGAGGAAGAGGAAGAATCTGGAAGAGCTGGGAAAGATGGGTTGTAGACAGGGGGAAGGGGACCAGTCAGGAGAGGCAGCAGGACAGTCTGACCCTCCTGCCAGTGATGGAGGTTTTTCAAGAGACTAAAACAGCAGAGTAATCCCTAGAGGCACAACCCTTAAGCCAAGAGAGTGGGTTTTGAAAAAGAGTCAACCATTGATCAGTATAAGGGAACCCTGCTCAGGATGCACAGGAGCTCCTGTGACCTTGAGTCAAAATGTCTTCATAGCTGGGTTCAGGGAGCCAATAGATGGTCATCCCATTTCATAAGAGGGCCAGTCAATATCACAGTAAGTGCATAGACTTTATTTACTCATCTGTCTGTCTGTCTGTCTGTCTGTCTGTCTATTTATCTATCTATCTTGCGTGCAACCCTGTACTCCTCCGCAAACCCTTGGGAGAAATTTTTTTAGCATACATTGAAGGGGTGAGAGTTTAGGCTTGGTGGTTCCTATGCTAGGAGAAAATTTAGGTGACTTGAGGAAGCAAAAGATTACTACAACCAATCCAGCAGCACTGGCAAGGAAAGAGACGATGACCCCATGTAAGACCTGCCACAATAATGCCTGGTCGTGGGAGCAAGGAGCAAGAGAGAATCTGAGGCCTGGAGAGGTGACTCCAGGAGTGGATTAGTATGACTGGAAATTTCCCATCCTGGAGAGGTCAGGAGACTTGCTTTTGCTTTGTAGACAAAAAGACAAATAAATAACAAACAACGGCACATTAAAGGGTGCCACCTAGTGGTAGAATCTGAAAAAACTCCAGCAGAATCTCAAGTCAGCTACCCTTTGGAGTTGATTTTCAAACAGGACTTCTTACTATGTAGTCTTGGCTGCCCTCAAATTCAGAGATCTGCTTGCCTCTGCCTCCCATGCTAGGATTAGTCATGCACCACCACTGCCTGGATGATAAAATAGATTTCATATAAAACACTTATCATGATCTTATTTTCAGATAGGGTTTTTCTATGTAGCCTAGCCTAGCCTTGAATTTGTCTCAGCTTCCCACCTAGCTGGGAGTAATAAAGGAGGAGCCATTGAGCCAGTTATGCCTAGTTGTTTCGGTGGCCATGTATGCACATGTGATTTTACAATGCACCATGTATCATCCATCTGTATACATGTTCCTCAGCAGAATTACAGCCACAAAGGTTGTTCCTTGGGACTGGAGAGATGGCTGCTATTCCAGAGGATCAGAGACCCACACAGTGGCTCACAACCATCGGTAAATGCAGTTCTTCTTCTTCTTTTTTTTTTGGTTTGTTTGTAGACCAGGCGAGAGCTAGTTCCAGGACAGCCTCCAAAGCCACAGAGAAACCCTGTCTTGAAACCAACCCCTCCCACCACCAAATAAAGACTAGTGATATTTAATGTCAGATTAACAACATTAATACCAAACGTAGTGCTTTTTTGTTTGCTTGTTTCTCAACAAGGCTTCTCTGAAGCCTTGGCTGTCCTGGAACTTACTCTGTAGATCAGGCTGACCTTTGAACTTACAGAGATCTACCTGCTTCTGCCTCCCAAGTGCTGTGTACCACATTCCTAGTTTGAAATATTTGCGTGTTTGTGTATGTCTACATGTGCAGAGGGTAGAGGACCACCAGGTGGTGTTCCTCAAGTGCTTTGTGTCCTCTATTTGCTATTTTGTGTCTCTGTCTCTGTGCTCAGCGGCCAGAAGACAGCACTGGATACCTTGGAGCTAGAGTTACAGGCAATTGTGATCTACCCAACATGGGTACTGGGACCTGAACTTGGGTCCTCTGTAAGAACAGCACCGAGTTCTTGTCATATTTTTAGCCCCTGTCCTCTCATTTTTTGAGACATGTCTCTTAATGAGGCTGGGGTTTGCTTTAGGGCTGAATTGGCTGGTGAGCCAATTCCAGGGATCTGTTGGTCATTTCCTTTCCAGCACTAGGATTACAAGTGTGCCAGCATACCCAACTTTTCACATGGTGCTGGGAAGTAAATTTGGGTTCTCATACTCATGTGGCATGCACTTTACCAACTTATTTTCCCAGCCCTGAAATAGTAAAAAAAAAAAGTGTATGGGGTGGTACATGCCACGGTACACATGTGGGTGTCAGAGGACATCTGCTGATTCAGCTCTTTTCACTTTTTTAAAAACATGGATTCTGGGGATCAAACTCAGGTTTCCAGACCTGTGCATCAAGTACCTTTACCCTCTGGACAATTCTGCTGGCCCTTAGATAATTATTTTTAAAGAGACTCAGAGGAGAGGACAACACTCGGCTCAAGGAATAAACCGACTAATGAACCACGGAAGTAAATGTAGCCAAGAAAGGTAGGACGTTTTATTTTACATACAAAAAGGGTGCAAACTGAGTCCTTTCCTCCCCAAACTGGGGAAGAGGTATACTTAAAGATCACATTTGTATTGTTCATGGTGCCCTATGAAATGGGCTACTCTGAGATAACATATCCAGACCCACATCCCATTTTCTCCAAAGGCTACTTCCTCTGCAGAGGAGTTTTCCCCAATGGTGTCCAAATCTCTCTATTGGAGGAAACATTTCAAATACACTTGAAATTGACATTCATTTAAAAAATACTACAAGTTTCATTTTTCACAGCTGCGTTTTTTTTTTTTTTTGACCAGTGCCAGGGTTTAGGAAACATTATGTATCTTTAAAAAAAAAGTAGAAAAAAGGCATTTAACAATAACTAGACACATCCACACATGAATTAAAACTGACCTCCACAGCTGATTTATACATCATCTACTTAAAAAATTGCAACCAACATTCCAATATTTTTTAAAGAGTATAATGGGTAAAACTTAAAAAAACACAAATAATAAATTAGAGAGTGTAATATATCCAATGGGAATTGCTGCATCAACATTACTTTCCATTGGTGGGGTATAGCATTTTTGGTTTCATCTTTTCTGCTGTTCTCTGCTTGATAAACAAGGCTCCTTCCCAGAGCCAGTTTGCTCACTGATCTGAGCAGCTCATTTGTCACACCGTCTCTGAGAACACCGAGGAACACTTAATTCCCAGAAGCCTGTGCTGCTTATGAGAGTAAAACACACACAGATGAGTGTACATATCCATCAGTAAAGACATGTATCCCCCAAGAAATGGCTCATGTTTCCTGAGACATTCCTAACAGATTATAAGCCTTCTAAAAGGCTTTGGTGCATGGGCTACCCTGGGATTTGGTCTGGAGCTCCCAAAGAGGGGTACCAAAATGTTTCACTCACCCTGAAAGGTGGGTTTGGGTTAATCAGGATGACAGTTGTCTGTGCATTGCTGGGATGACTGCAATGCACTGTGGCTTATTACCACAGATAATCCTCTGCTCTGAGACCTTAAAGGTAGTGATGGCACCAGAAAAGTGATTGTGATGGTGGGGCAAAGGGGGTTGGAAAGGGAAGGAGGAGAGAGAGAGAGAGAGAGAGAGAGAGAGAGAGAGAGAGAGAGAGAGAGAGAGAGAGAGAGAGAGAGAGAGAGAGAGAGAGATCCTGTCCACACAACTGAGGTTTCTTTATAACATCAAGTTTGGTAATTGAACTAGAGATATATGGAGTGCATGTTCACTTTTTTCCTTGATAAGCTGATGTGTAAATACTGGAGTGGGCTTCCTGGTTTTTTTTTTTTTTTTTGAGAAAATTTGTCAACTACTATTGCCTATATCCAGGGATCTACTAACTATTTTGATACAATAAGAACTCTATTGTTTATACTCAGTTACCTGCAAAAGAAGTAGGACAAACACCTTAAAACTGGTTATTGGATCAGACTCCCAAGACTGGTGAAGAAAACACTGTTCAAAACTCTACAAGCTCACAGAAGGACCATAGTGGCCTCTCCTTTTTCATACTCACAAATTAACCCCCTTAAAACAAATTCCCCCAACAAACAAGGAATTCTTATTTGATTGCTACCAACCCATCATGGGGAAGGCTGGAGTTATTGGCCATCAACATCTACATGGGACTTCCTTGAAGTCTGCAAAATCAAGAAACCCAGAGATAAGTGCTTGTCACCCACATGGCCAATCCATCTGGGTACTAATTATCCTGGCTCCCTGAGGGTCTCTGGAATCAACCTGCCCACTTGGGGCAATGGAGGGGATGGTGGCAGTGGCTTGGCAAAGGCAATGTTGGTTGTATGACCATGCAAACTCCTGCTCTTAAAAACTCAAGCCCTGGCATGACTGACACTGGACAAAGCATTACCAGGGCAACAAAACAGGAATGGAAAACTGGTCTCAGTATGGAAGAGGTGGCTGGGACACAGGAGTCATGTGGGCTTGGGAGGGATGTATTAGAAGATGAAGACCAAGTTCCTTTGAGGAAATGTTTTCTAGGCTTCTGAGAAAAACATTCTTGAGAAATGCAGCCATGCTTGTTCAACATGGAGGGGAATGGATTATCTTTTACATTATTTTTTAAATTAAGGCTATGATCCTTAGCAACCACTTTTTTTTTGGTTTTTCGAGACAGGGTTTCTCTGTGGCTTTGGAGGCTGTCCTGGAACTCGCTTGGTAGTCCAGGCTGGTCTCGAGCTCACAGACATCCGCCTGCCTCTGCCTCCCGAGTGCTGGGATTAAAGGCATGCACCACCAACGCCCGGCACAACCACTTTGATATAACATTATCACTCTTCAACTTCTGGCACTACAAGTGGTGCTAACACTGGACATCAACACGTAATAAGCACTACAGCATACTTTTCCCGTGTAGTAAACTAGAAGTCACTTTATAGGAGAAGATGGACACCATCTGGCTAATGGACATGGGCTGTTTGAGTTCTACGTTATTCACTAAAATTGAAAAAGAAACTAACATTTTCAGAAACCTTAGAATCCTTGCTGTCTCTGTATTTGTTCTAATTGAGATGAGAATTTTAACTGGAGACTTACCTAGTCACCTGATTTACACATACCTTCACAGACCCTGTTTGCTCCTAGACAGACCCAAAATAGAAGAATGTTAATTAAGGCAGTCATGAGTGCGAACTCTGAAAACCCACTTGTATAACTGGACACTTTACACCTTGGTGTAACCCCTGGCCTGCTTGCACCCAAGTCTGCTCAGGCTGCAATGCCTCAAGGACAGCAAAGCTTAAGGAAACTCCCAACAGTTGAGATGAGGACAGATGGAGGGAGTGCCTGTGCTCTGGGATATGGCTGAGCTTGCAGCCAGATAACTGACAGAAACTGGGATGTGTATGAAGCCTGATGTGCTGGTGGGACCGGAACAGATGAGCAGGTTGTTTCTGGGGAATTTAGTATATTTAATTTTAAGGAAGATCATAAGAGAATTGCTCAGCTTTGGGACCACCTTGGAGTATCAATGGCCTTGAAAGGATCACCACCTCCCTACATGTTAAAGGGACCTTTGCTACAAAACCCAAATATCTAGTAAGGGATTTGTGGAGGCTGGAAGGTGCCAACAGTGCATTAGGAAGGACCCTTCCCCACTCCCACAAACCACTCAGGTTCAACCCCTCAAGAGCTAGCCTATAAAAATATTTTAAGACAAAAAGAAGTCTTAGACCCAGCTATAGGGCACTATCCCCTGCAGCCAAGCTGGTCACTGCCTTTGCTTTATTGTGGAAGCAGGGTTGGGGAGGCACTTAGTGGGACAGAGAGTGCCAGGATGCTCTAGGCCTTGCCACCATTTCCTGGGATGAGGATTTTTAAGTTTCTGTAGGGGAAAGTCAGGTTGCCCACATGACAAACGAGGGACTATGTAAATTTCAACAATGAGCTTTAACTACTACATAATAAAAAGGAAGCAAATCCTTACACTCAAATTCCTTATGGGGAAGGGGTTTGACCTGATTTCTCCCTGCTACTCTGTTTCACGGACAAAAACCTTCCTTGTAAAGAAATGGCAATCTTTACAAATTCTGAACAGCTTTGAAGCCAGTGAAGAGAGATTCCCTAGCCAAGGTCCAACCGAACAGGCAAGGAGCATAAACTCTGCTTCATTTGATACTACTTCTGATCACAAAGAGTCCTCCAGCCCTCTACATATACAAGCAGAGTTCTGCGCTGCACTAAGTCACTAGCTGCTGCTCTCTGTGGGTAGGTCTTTATACCCAGATACAAGACCTCTTTGCACACATGAATAATCCTTGCCACAACTAGGGTAAGAAGTGACTGTTTGGAAATGCTACTAAAATGGAAACAGAACATGAGAAGAGTAGCCCCACACTGTTAACTACTAAAATGGAAACAGAACATGAGAGGAGCAGCCCCCACACTGTTAGCTATGCAACCGGTGATGCTTCATGGTGGTATGTCCAGTGAAGACACCTTGGTGGCGGTAGAGAGTGTACTGGGGAAAACATGCTAATATATGGTCATATTATCTGGAAAGAGTCTCTGTTCAATTATTAAGATCGAATTTTAGACCTTTCATTGCAGTTTCCTTTTCCCTGGAATTTCCCAGCACCAACCAATCTTACCTTCCCTGCTTACTGCAGCCCCATGTATCAAGTTCTAAGCCTGCTGCTATGGACCTGCTTCAAGATCACCACAGGCTTGGTTTCCAAGGCAGACCAGCCTAGATGCTCTAACTCAGTCTTGAGGCAGACATGAGACACTGGTTTTCTTTTCCTGGCCTTAGGATGCTGCATCCTGAGGCTTCTCTGGCAGTTGGAAAGCAGGTTGGTCATCCCCTTTTGTCCGCTACTGGCAATATGGTGGTGGCTGTTTAGTCACTAATTTTGTCCCCCAAGTCAACAGAAAGTTGCATGGCTATCTAGTAGGAAGTCCCTGGCAGTGGAGGAAACAGAAATTTTGCTTTGTTGTTGTTAAGTATCTCCTCTGTGAGATGAGGTGCCTTCTGGTTGGTCACAGTCTGGCTCGGTGCTCATCCCAAGTGCTCAGGAGCTGGGCTTTCAAGCTCTAGGCTGATTAGGTCAAGGGGCTCTGGTGGAGACTTTTCTCTGCAGCGGAGAAGATGAATGAAAATTCAAGTATGTTTTCTTGCCAACCTGAGAATTCACTCAGGATGACACAGAGTTTGGCTTCTTCTCTTCCGAGTGCTGCAAATCAGACTCTTCCCATCAAGAATGTCCTCTGGACCCATATTTTCTCTGAATGGCTTGGCTGGCCCATCCCCCTTGAAACAGAAAAAAGCACCCCCCCAATATAACCAGACACAATATGCATCTGCCATGTTGTTTAAAAAACAAAACAACCCCCCCCAAACTAAAAGTGCAATAAAGTCAGTTTCCTTTCCTTTGCTCAGAACCACAGGCATGTTTTGCTACAGCCGGAGCAAGGGATTTGCTTATCAAAAAAGCTAAGAACGCCAACACACAGGGACAGTAGACTGCAGATTTCTCACAGCTTGTGTCCTACAGTGTAACTTCACAGGAGGGAGGGAAGGAGGGAGGAACCTGAACCCTGTGGCCAGCTGGGCTGGGGGTCACCCAGGCATAGAGGGAGAAGAAGCCATACCACTAGACACACCTGGGAAATGGAGAAGTCCTCCAGCCCAGGTCTGTCATCTTCCTCCTACCTTCTTGGCCACACCACCAGCTTCTTGACAGAGCCTTTAGCTTAGTAGTTTTTATGCTGGAGAGGGTTGAGGGTGGTGTAAGAACCAGTAAAGGAAGAGGAGGGAAGAGAATAGTAGTCCTTGAGTTTTTGTGAATGACACCTTCACTGTAAACAATGGGAAGAGAGTCAACCAGATAGCCCAAGGGCAAGCAGTGGAGAAGCAGCAGCTCTGGACCCGCTCAGAGCTCAAACAGAGGGGATTGCCACTGGCCCACTGGGCCCTGGCTGCCTGCACTGGCTCCTTCTGGGGGCATCTGTTTTCTTCTTTTTGGTTTGGATCTCCACCCTCCCCCACAGAGGAGTCCCTTCCAATGAGAAATGGCAGGAACTGCAGGTGCAATTGGAGCCAGAGTCCTCAGGACTTGAGGACTCCTGGGAGGCACTGGTCACTTGTGTCGCTGAGCAGTCTTCTTCCTTTTCCTCTTAAAGAAACAGCAGCACCTGGAGCACAAGAACATTTAAGTCAGTCTAGAAGTCTCTAGCTTCCCACAGATCTCTGCCTGCTTCTGCTTACTGCAGGAGATAGGGTTTTTTCTCCTGGTGCCCACCCACATGGCCACCCACCATCTACAGTAGACACACACTGGAACAGGCTGTGTCTGTCAGAGAGATAAAGGTACCATCTGATTTGAGTTGCAGCCACTCCACTTGATTATCAAAATGTTCTCCATTAGACATGGCTGACACACACATTTGTGGAAGAAGGATGAAGAAAGCTTTGTTTCTTGACTAACATCAAACCCAGATTTTCCATGTGTCTAGAACCAAAATAGCCTGCACTGAATGCCCCTTGATACCAGCAGCAGCTCAATGCAACTCACTGGCCAGTAGGCAAGGAGGCTAAACTGAGGCAAATAAGTCTCAAGGTAGGAAATCTAGAACCCTGGCGATCACATGAAGTCAACAAATGGACTACAGATTCTTTGTGCCTTGTTCTTATCCCCAACATAATGCCTGGAGTAAGCAGAAGCTCTAGCTCATAAAGGACTTGATTTCCTGATGCGAGCACAGGTGCCAATCACCCCAAGGGGACCAACGCTAGAAGCCCAGGAGCTAATCAGGAAACTCTGGTCACAGGGAATTTCCCATTTAGTTCCCCAAGACTGCCACTGTTCCAGACAGGGTTAGCAACTGGTTTGTTTAAGGAAGAGGCTGAGGCCCTCCAAGTGCCATCTCTTGGGGGACAGCCTGCAGAAGAGTGGCAGTACTGGTACACCCTAACCCTGAAGATGCCATCCTTACTCCAGTCTTTGGACTAGGAAGTGTGGCTGTTGTATAGGCATTGGAGAAGGGGATGTTGAGGGCTATGGCAAGGTTGATGCAAAAGGTATGTTTTTTCCAGAAATGACAAATGGAAAATGAGAAGGGTGGGCAGAAGGCAGTGGATGAGTCAAAGATGCCAGATGATGGAGGAGAATAAAGTAAGTATAGCTCAGATACTTGATCCTTGAAAGAAAACTTTTTCTTAGCAAACTATCTTAAGTCTCTTACCTAGTCCTTCCAGGGTTCTTTAAAATAACTTTTATTATTTTGTGTGTGAGTGTCTTTGCCTGTATGTATGTCTGTGTACCATGTTTAGTGGCTGGTGCCCACAGAAGCTTGAGGACTGGACTTAGAGCTGCTCTGTGGTTGCTGGGAAATGAAACTGCCTTGTCTGCAAGAGCAGCAGGTGCTTCTCTGAGTTCTCTCTCCAGCCCAGCTCCTAGGTTTCAGTACAAGCGATACTCCTATAGAATAGACACTACTGCTCACTTCCCACACTATCTCCTCCCCTGAAGCTGATCCCTCTCCTTTTAGACCTCTTGTGTTATTTTATTTTCTCTCTCTGCCTCTCTCACTTTTTCCAGACAGGGTTTCTCTGTGTAACTTTGGAACCTGTTCTGGAACTTGCTCTGTGGACCAGGCCAGCCTCAAACTCACAGAGATCGGCCTGCTCCGTTTCCTGAGTGTTGGCATTAAAGGTGTGCACCACTACTGCTTTGGCCCATGTTACTATATTTTCTAACAGTGTTCCTAATATTTTCATCAGTAAAAAATTGGATAAAGTTTCTTTTCTCTTTTGAGACAAGAACTCATTATTATGTAGCCAAGGCTGGCTTCAATTGTGCAATCCTCTGGTCTCAGCTTCCCAGAGTTCTAGGATTTATAGGTGTGCATCCCATATCTAGACTGAGAAAGTTTCTTAGACTGCAGAAATAAACATTTGCACAGATAGCAATGTGAGCTTTCCAAGAACTGAAATTCATGAATAAAATGTGGAATTTTGATACAGGAGTTTCTTTACTTTCCTTTTTTGAAACAGGTTTCTCTGTGTAACAGTAACAGTCCTGGCTGTCTTGGAACTCACTTTATAAATCAGGCTGGTCTTAAACTCACAGAAATCTGCCTGCCTCTGCTTCTCAAGTGCTGGGATTAAAGGCCTGTGCCACAACTGCCTAGTGAGTCAGGGGTTTCTTAAGAGTTTTAAAATATTTTTTCAAAATCTGGTGATGTGTGCCTGTAATTCCAAAGCTTGACAGTTGGAAGGATCAAGAGTTCAGAGTTATTCTTGGCTACATATCAAGTTGTAGGCCAATCTGGTCTATAGGAGACCTTGTTTAAATAGATACATAGATAGTGTGTGTCCCAACCAGCCCTGTGTGTATCAATAACATTTAAAGTACTATTAATAAGCCGGGCGTTGGTGGCACACGCCTTTAATCCCAGCACTTGGGAGGCAGAGGCGCACTTGGGAGGCAGAGGCAGGCGGATCTCTGTGAGTTCGAGGCCAGCCTGGTCTACAAGAGCTAGTTCCAGGACAGCCTCCAAAGCCACAGAGAAACCCTGTCTCGAAAAACCAAAAAAAAAAAAAAAAAAAAAAAAAGTACTATTAATAGGTGTGAACCAAAGTGTTTTATATACATATGTATGTGTACATATATATATATACACACACATTTATCTAGAAACTGAATAAATTATTTATTTTAAATAAAAATGGTTAATGGCTTAAAATAATCCTTAATGGAAACATTGGGGAAGAATTCAAGAAAAAATCTGTATATATGTATTAGAAATGAACATTTGTTTAAAAATTTTTTTATTCACTTTATGTGTATGGATATTTTGTTTGCATGTATGTATATGTACCAACCATGTGTGTGCCTGGTCAGAATATGGCGTTGGATCCCTGGGGTTGAAGTTACAGATGGCTGTGAGTACCATGTGGGTGCTGGGAAATGAAACCTCTTGCTCTGGAAAGGCAGTCACTGATCTTAACTACTGAATCATTTCTCCGGACCTGAAACAGACACTTACCAAACTGAATGTCCAGAACTTAGTATTTATGTAGACAAGTCAAATCTTGTAGATTTATGTAAACAAGACATGAAGAACCAGGATTTCAAGGCTTTTTTTTTTCTTAAAGATTTATTTATTTGTTTTATGTATAAGTGCTCTATCTGCATGTACACCTTTATTCCAGAAGAGGGCATCAGATCCCACTATAGATGGTTGTGCACCTCCATGGTTGCTGGGAACTGAATTCAGGTCCTCAGGAAGAGCAGTCAGTGCTCTTAACCACCGAGTCAACTCTCTAGCCCATCAGTCTTACCTGTTTCAACTATGATTTTCAGTGGGTTTACTAACTGTAAAATTAACATCTGTTTTCACTTTCTGTGTGGAGAACCCTAAGATAATGATTTTTGTGTTTTCAAATAAAAACATCCCCCAAACATCTGAAATACTGGGCTCATTTCTAAATGTCAAACAGATTCTCTTTTACTTCCTCCAGGGCAATTCACAGGAATTAGCGTGTACTACCACTGAATCACCAGAGGGCACATGCATAGAGCGGCCATATTGCGCATTTAGAGCCCTGTACAGCTTCAGCATGGGGTAGAAGCTTTTAATCCCATCAACTAGGAAGGAGACCCCACAGTCTGTTCTCTTTTTTTTTTTTGGTTTTTCGAGACAGGGTTTCTCTGTATTGTTTTGGAGTCTGTCCTGGAACTAGCTCTGTAGACCAGGCTGGCCTCGAACTCACAGAGATCCCCCTGCCTCTGCCTCCCGAGTGCTGGGATTAAAGGCATGCGCCACCAATGCCCGGCTACCACAACCTGTTTTTAAAGCCTTTTGTTTCTATGGGTGACCACCAGCAAGAGGATCCAGATCTGAGGTCGAGTCACTCTACCCAGATGTGCTCCTCCTCAGAGCAAAGTAAGGACAAATGATTTCCTTTGTGTCTTAGGCTCCCTTTGAGTGATCAGAGAGTCTTTACAAGTCAGATCCAGAACTGACCAGGATTCTCCCCACAAGCCATCAAACACTCTTCCCACAGGCCTCTGACCTGACCACCACTTTTTCTCATTCCTGCACTGTCATCTCCGCATTCTCCTTGTGGATTCTCTTGTTTACCACACCCTCTTCCTCCTCCTCTGCTCAAGTCCTGCTGTACCTAAGAGTCTTCCTTGAGAACTAGCAGTGACTGTTCACCCTCTCAGTCTTCTGAGAATAACATAAGAATGCTGTAGACGTCCTTTCACATATACATGATTCACTTTATAGCTAGGTGACACCTAAGCCTCTTGGGCAGAGCCTCCCCTCACTTGCCCTGTTCCTCTCTGCCATCCCAGGTCTCTGAGTTCTATACACAAGGTTGGACGAGCATAGTAGGACCTAAAGTATATGCAATTGGGATCATGTGACTGACACCTCACAAGAAAAAAAATAGACCATGACAACACTAGATTACACAGACACATGAACAGGCCAAATGTCCTCTTTGAAACCCTAACACTACCAATCATATTGCCATAAAACCCAACTGTTATCTTTAATATATATCTATTCCCAGGCAAATCCCTGTGGACGATTTACCTTAGATAGTCAGAGTTTGGAAATCAAGGCCCAATTCAGGTATTGAAGGTAATTTTTCTAAATGAAGTAGTCAGAGTCCAGCAGGCTATTATCATGGCATAGACTGTGACCTTATGTGTACAGATAGTGTGGGAGGGTTACAAACTGTCACCAACATGAATCCTTCAGGGGTTTTCCTTCCACATCCCCATATGTCCTAATTTGTATTAAAGAAGTCTTTCCTAGAAGAAAAGACAGGTTCCCATATCCTCTCATCAAAGAATAAAGGAAACACATAAAAAAATGTCCAATCAACACCAAAATGTTGACCTTTCTTTCAATGAGTTCTCCTATTTTAGCAACTCTTACTATAGATGCAAAACTAACAAAAACAAGGCACTTATGGATTTCTTCCAAATAGCCTATTTACACATTTCAAAACAAGTTGCTAAAGGTGAGATTGATTATCTGGTGAGAACACTTCTGTAGTTGTTGAAACATCTAAAACCTTATCTTTCTAACCTTGATCCCTCTCCTTCTGATAGTAATAGTCATAACTTGGGAGAAAAGAATTGGAAGAAGGAAGTTCACTCATCTTAAAAAGAACGGTAAGTGTGGGTGTTGTGAGATCATTTTGGTAGGAGGGTGCAGTGATAAATGAGGTGGGATTGAGAGAAGAGAAGGAAAAGATTGACTTCTGGGTACAGGGCCTGCCCCACCCCACCTTGTGGCCCTGATCTCCCCAGTCTGGGTGGCTAAGACATAGGAGGTATATGGAATTCATTCAGTATTTCTAATGCTTTGCCAATCCCAGTCTAGTCAGGTCCACTCCCCTTGCATGTGGACTGGAGAGAGGGACTCACCACAGGTTGAGCATTTTCAGGCAGCTACAGAGTATATAAAGAGAAAAATACAGAAAAGGAAGGGAGAGAGAGAGAGAGAGAGAGAGAGAGAGAGAGAGAGAGAGAGAGAGAGAGAGAGAGAGAGAGAGAGAGAGATTAGTCCACGGATGAGATGGAAGTGACTCCCTGTGAGCATGCAAACATGCAGTATGTGTCTGTGTTTAGTTTCCTCCTGCTGAGGGAGGCTGAGCAGGCCACCTGGTTCACATTTAATAGGAGGCAGAAGCCTGACAGGAGGAACAATGTGGGAGCTGCATCTAGGGGATACAAAACAGAAGGAGCTGGTGGAAGCCTCAGGGTGGGCTTTCAGGAAGGCAGCAGGGGAGGAGCAAGTGACCTGGCCTGGGAGAATGCAGGCATCAAGGCTGAACCCCCTGGTTCCCACACCAGGTCTTGTACAATGCTTACCTAACTTCTATACTCCAATTCAAAAAGCAGCAGCTAGCACTAAACCCTTCTTAGACATAGGAAAAGTTAAAGAGATACTTTATCTTATTAGAAGATGAAACAGAGGGAATTCACTGTTTAGAAATAACTACTAGAGAAGGACCTAAAATTCTAACCACACTAATTCTCAGGAGACATTGGACCCACAATCATTATAGCTGAAGTATAAACAATAAAAAGTCTTATACTCTTACTATCACAAAAAATTGACCTAAAAATCATCTACCCTCACCATTCCTCCAACCATACTTCAACAAAAGTACTTGTACTTAGAAGAAAAGGGAAATCAAGTGTCCATTTTTTTACACTGATTAAAACCATCATCCTGTGGTTTTGTACTGCCTTTACATTTAACAAGTCGAGAAAGGGAACCTAAAACCAAAAGTTTCCACACTTTCCCTGTACTACAATAGAACCAACAGCCCTCCTTATCCCATCAACAGGCTACATCAACAAATGGCATCATAGCTGTGTGTAATGAGGGTTTGTTTGGGACACCTCATGACTGTCTCTGCCTCTCTGCCTCTGCCTCTTCCTCTGTCTCTCTGTCTCTGTCTCTCTTTCTCTTTTGATACAGTGTTTCTCTGTAGCTTTGGAGGCTGTCCTGGAACTCTCTCTGTAGACCAGGCTGGCCTCAAACTCACAGAGATCCACCTGCCTCTGCCTTCTGAGCGCTGGGGTTAAAGGTGTGCGCCACCACTGTCCGGCCACCTCATGTCTCTTTAGCTTTGACTTTTCCATGAAAGTGATCTAGTGAATGTATGGCTACTATATCCTTACCCCCACACATATCAACATAGATATACCATATATGCACATGGCTGAGCCCTGATAGTTCTTTAGGCAAGATAGATTGGTAGTTTATGAAATCACTACCAGAACCAGTATACAAAATGTCCAAGCAAGGCTTTGAGTGACACTTGGTCAAAGGCAATTGCTCTCTTTTAGTTTCTGTTTTTCGGAAGGTCTAAACCTGTAGCAGGAGGCAAAAGTATAATGGTCCCTTCTGCTAATGGGAAGATTTTCCCCTCTCTTTATATTTTAGTGTTTAGATTATGAAAGAACAGAACACACCTGACTGAACTCTTTCTGTATGAGTGGCCTCTATCTTCCACATTGAACACAAACACCACATTCACACACAGTTAATGTATACATTTACTAAAATGAGATGAAATGAATAGGTCTGAAATATAAATCTGCTTAAGGCCTAAGGCTAAAATTCATATGAACTTGGTGCTCAAAGTATAGTATTAGACTCAGGTCTAAATTTCTAAAAAGCACAGGTACAAATATGAAATGCAGAGAAAGGTGGAGTGAGGTGGGAAAAGGCATGGCTCTCTTTCAAGATCACAGCATGCAGAGTGGACCAATTTTAGCTGCATGTTAGAATTCCCTTAACTTTTAAATAAAATATTTTCATTACCAGGCCAGATACTAATAAATTAACCTCAAATATCTGGGTCCATGCAGAAGTATCTACATTTTCTAATATACTCTAGGAGATTCCAAAGTGAGAGTTCAGAAAATCAGACTATCTTATCATATAATTTATTGAGAATGAAAGAAAAAATTATAAGCATCATTAAAATCTCCCACCCCTGAGAAAGAAGACTGTAATTAATGACTAAACTAGTCCCCTCCTGGCTCACCTTCTCAATCTACCCCTTGTCTATAGGTATCAACAGGATGGAACCTAAGGTGCCCTCATTCACTTTTTTATCTGTTAAGAAAAGATTTCTTAAAGGCTGACTGATGCCCAGAGGTATAAGCATGTCCTGATTTGTACTAAAAATATGTTGCTTGCCCCAGGACTGGCAGTAGTTACTGACTTATGTTTCTCTAGCTCTCCCTACCTGATGTCTTCTTGACGTTTAAACCTAGATCTGAGTTTGGGATGGGGAAAAAAGGAAAAGAAGTGGTAGAAATGCTGTTTGCACAGCAGAATCAGCAGCTCCTTCCAGCCCAGAATCTCAGAGTTTAAACACAGACCATGCAGAAAGCACCGAGGGGCTAGCAGAAGAGCAAAAGACACACACATGCACGAGAAGAAGAGGAGGTGAGGAACTGCCTTCACTCTCCCGGGATTAGGGTCACTTTCCTCTCCCAAGAGTCTCGTATTTACAAGCACAACTGTCTTGTCTTGCCTGAAAATTACTTAGTTTTTCTAAGCCCAGACTGTTTGAAAGACAGCAAAACATCTCCCAAACCCTTGTTTTCATGGCCATCCATCTGGAGTGGTGAGGCAACAATTAGAAATGTGATACTATATATATACCAAGGCCCATGGTTTAACATTTTTTCTCTTTTAACACATAGGGAACAAGAAGCTCTAGAGTCTCCAAGAAACTCATGACTACTACCTACTGTAGTTTTCACTGCATCATTCTTTTAGTCCATCGTCTTTTGCTGAAGGCAGTCTAGAAAAATATAACTATCTGCCCAGAAATCAGTGCTAAAGAAGGGTGGCAGCATCATTAATGCAGCATGCACAAAACCAAAATGGTCAGAAGAAAGTTGTGGACACAAGCATGAAAAGTCCAGTCTGTGATGAGCAGCACACAGAGGAGACAGAATAGAGTTTCCAACCCATGATGAGACAAACCCTTTGAAAGACACACAACCCCTTTGAAAGATGAACGTACTTAGCTTCCTCCACTACCTCCACCTCAGCATGAGCCGTGATTGGTGCATTTGAGTGAGCTCCGGTTGGATCATCAACATTCAGCTCTCCGTTGGTTGAGCTGACCACCTGAAACAGAGACAGACCTCGATAAGCACCAAGGTTGTATGAAGTTCCTGCCTCCACCACAGTAGATTAGGCGAGATTAGGTCTCACACTTAGGTACTAGCCAGACAGGGTGTGGAATGTGTGTTTACCTGTGTTAAGGGAACACTGTCCTGATTTAGGGAGGGTTCCTAGACCTTTATCTTGTCAGAACACTTAATGATATAATCATACAATTAATTTCATATTGAGTGCCTACTTTGGTTTGCACTCTGCTACACTGTATGTGTGTGTATAAATTTAATCCTTATAAAACCCTTACTTAATATGTCACAATTATTTGTGTATTCATGTGTGTGTGAGGGTGCATGTGTATGCACACACCCACACAGCTAAAGGTTAACATTGGTGTCACTCTTCAGGAACCTTCCACTTTATTTAGGGAAAGGGTCTTTCACTGAGATAGGTAGCTTGCTGATTAGGCTAAGGTGGCTGGCTGGTTGGTGAAACCCAGAGATTCCCAAGTCTACACTTTTCCAGTGCTGGGATTACAAGGGATAGGCTATCACTAAACTGCCTTGAAAAAAAATTAAAATAAAAAACAAAACCAACAAACAAGCTGGGAGGTGGTGGTGTTCGTCTTTAAACCCAGCACTTGGGAGGCAGAGACAGGCAAATCTCCAAGTTCGAGGGCAGCCTGTCCTGAGTTCCGGGACAGCCAAGGCTACACAGAGAAACCCTATCTCTAAACAAACAAACACTGTGTATGTGGAGGTTGGAGGGTAACTTACAGGAGGTGGCTCTCTCTTTCTACTATGTGTTTTCTGGCTGTTGACCTCAGCTCATCAGGCTTTGGTAAAAAGTGCATTTACCTACTGTGCCATCTTGCTGTCCCCCAGCCCCAATTATTCTCTTTTAATGGATGGGAACACTAAAAAATTACTTAACCAAGGGTTTAGTTAGGGTCTATGGGCTTTTATGGCTCCCACCTGCGTCTGTCCACAGATTCTTTCATTTTTCAAAAATGTGTATAGTTTTTATTAAAAAAAAAAAACTGAGTCGGGCAGTGGATGGTCCATGCCTGTAATTCCATCACTCGGGAGATAGTGGTAGGAAGATCTCTGTGAGTTCAAGGCCAGCCTGGTCTACAAAGCAAGTTTTAGGACAGTCAAGCTGTCTTGAAAAATTAACAAAAAAATCCTACAAATCCTGTATGCTAACTTATAAAGGTTAACTCATTTGCTCCCTTGACTATCGGGGGTAAATTCTACCACTCTCAGTTTATTATACTACATAATTATAAACTTTGGGTAATGATGATTTAAAAAATAAATTCTCAAAAAGAAACCAAGAATGGGCACCAGAAACCATAAATAATCACACTTTCCTTCAGAAATTTCTTCATGGCTTTGATCACTGGTTTGAAGTTACTCAAACAAGACTGCTACACCCTTCTCTGTTGAGAAGGAAGACGGTAAAGACAAATTTCCCTTGGAAAACCAGTCTTATTTCAATGGCCTTTATTTCAGGTTCACTGTCATCCCATTTCTCACTGATGGTCCCCGAACTGTAAATGATGGCTCTCATTCCTGTCATCTGGTTCATGTGGACCCGATCAGGCTTGTCTTGCTTGTACAGTTGCTTCTGCCACCTGGTTTCATTTCCAGCACATGATTCCTGCTTATGTGGGTGCTGGGGAGTGGGAAAAGGGACCCCGCACAAACCACTCTGCTGTTAAAGATCTTGGCTGAAACATGGGAGAGAACCACAAAATAGGATAAATGGTTCAGATAGCTTATGGTATTGGGTAATAACTTCATCTATTTGAGACTGTTCTTACAGAATGATGTTAGGATTACATAAGGAATGGATGGGGGATACCTTGTATATAATATTGGAGGAAGCAGGAACTAGTAAGTAAGAACTGAGTTCTAAAATTAGGCAGCGGGGACTGGAGAGATGGCTTAGCAGTTAAGAGCACTGGTTGCTCTTCCAGAGGACCCAGTTCAACTCCCAGCACCCACATGACAGCTCACAGCTGTCTGTAATTCCAGTTCCAGGGGGTCTGACACCCTCAAACAGAAGTGCATACAGGTAAAACAACAATGCACATAAAATAAACACATAAATCTTAAAAAAAAATTAGGTAGCCATGGGTTTGAACTCTAACTGTATTGGCTGTGGGTGTTTGGACAAGATCTTCAATCTTTCTGTACCCCAATTTCCTAGTCTGTAAAATGGGGAAACAGTGATGTTTCTTCTAATGGAGTCACCATGCAGATAAGCCATAGTAAGTGTTCAGCCCAGAGCCATAAGACATAGTAATGGCTCAAAAAATATTCATTTAAGCTGGGTGTGGTGGTGCAGGCCTTTAATCTCACCACTCAGGAGGTAGAGGCAGGCAGATCTCTGTGAGTTCAAGGCCAACCTGGTCTCCAGAGTGAGTTCCACGATGGCCACAGCTACACAGAGAAATCCTGTCTTGAAAAACAAAACAAGATTCATCTTACTGATACTTTTATTTTCCTCAAGCTATGGGGTACTCACTAGCAGCTAATTTCCCAAAATTTTCTAAATGATCATAAAAAGGAAAGAGGGAGGAAATGTTTACTACCTTTGGGGCAGACAGTGAGTACTACCTATTGGTAATGTATAACCACCATTATTTCTACAAAAGAATAATTACTGCCCCCCAACCCTTATTTTGGACAAGGGTCTCATAATGTAGCCTTGGTCTGGTACCCACTATATAGCCTAGGCTATATAAACTCATAGTACTATATAAATCCATGGCACTGCTCCTGCCTCAGCTGCCACAGAGGTAGGATTACAACAGGTCTAGAATATCATGTCTGGCCTTTTTCTTGTTAATAAGACATGAGTAAGAAAATTACAACAATGATATGTGGTTAATTAAAAAAAAAGAACCCTACAACATTAAATTTGGACTTACCTGAGGAAGACTCAAATTTCTGCTAGTGATCAAATTTAGTATCTCTGATTAGTGGACAGCCTAACATTATACATATTATACAAAACAGCATTTTCCCTTCTCTGCAAACAGGTTTCTTCTGAATCTAATGACAATTTCACAATTTAGACAATAAAAAATTTTTTTAAAAAGCTGGGTGGTGGTGGCGCATGCCTTTAATCCTAACACTTGGGAGGCAGAGGCAGGCAGGTCTCTGTGAGTTTGAGGCCAGCCTGGCCTACAAAGTGAGTTCAAGGACAGCCAGGACTATACAGAGAAACTCTGTCTTGGGGGAAAAATAGACAAATCCAGAATGTGAAATATTGTATAAGACAGTTGACTTGGATTCTTCAAAAAGGATCAAGTTATAAAAACCTTAAAAAAATCACTGGTAACTGATACTGATTAAAAGGGATTAAGGTGATATAGAGATGACTCAGTGGTTAAGAACATCTTACAGAGGACCTGACTGAGTTCAGCTCTGATGCCCTCTTCTGACTTCTGGGAGCACTAGGCACATGTGCACTTACATTCATACAAGGAAAAAAGAGGTGGGACTAAAAGAGACTAATGAATTAGGTATAGTGGTATACACCTAAAACCCCAAGCTTCAGGAGGCAGAAACAGGAGGACCACCATGAGTTGGAGACTAGCCTGCGTTATATAGTGAGATGTGGATTAGCCTAGGCTACAGAGTAAGACTGTCTCAAGACAATGAAAATAAAAAAACAAAACAGAGGGATGAAGGAACTGAAAGAGAGGGAGGAGGCAATGCAACTGATGGGGTGCAGGATCCTGGTTGGAGTCCTGACTACAGAGGTGTAAAGACAGCGGAATGTGGGCTCTTAGGCATTACGACCTTACTGACTGTCCCCGAGAAGGCAACGAAGTTACTGCTCATGTGAAAGAATGTATTTGTTCTTAGGAGACGTAGGTGGAAGTGTGTGAGGCTAAAATAAACTGTTTCAACTTTCAACAAACACACATAAACACAGGCACATACACACCGCAAGTATGCAAAATTAAAATGGCAGAATCCTAACAATTTCTTTTTTTTTAATTTTTTTATTTATTTATGTATTGTGTATACAGTCTTCTGCCTGCATGCCAGCAGGGGGCACCAGATCTCATTCAAGGTGGTTGTGAGCCACTATGTGGTTGCTGGGAACTGAACTCAGGACCTCTGGAAGAATAGTCAGTGCTCTTAACCGCTGAGCCATCTCTCCAGCCCCCTAACAATTTCTTAATGGAGGTTAAGGATAGTCCTGACTTTTCTGTAGATTTGAAAATTTCAAATCAGAAGTTGGGGGAAGCCCAGCACATAAAGAAGGCTGAGAGGTTAAATGACTGTGAACCACACCCTGCTGCCTTCCTCAGTCCTGCTAGGATTCCTGTGCATGTATTTTCTAGCATACACAAACTGTTAGCACTGGTAAGTGGCTTATTCTATGACCACAATGGTTACACATGAAAGCAGTCACCCGAAAATGTACATTTATTTATTTAGTTTCGCAGAACTGGGGAATAAATCAAAGGCTGTGTGTATTCCAGGAAAGTAACTGAATTATATCCCCAGTCCTGAATCAATGATTTTTTAAAAAAAGACTTAATTATTTATGATGTACACAGTGTTCTGCATGCACACCAGAAGAGGGCACCAGATTTCATTACAGATGGTTGTGAACCACCATGTGATTGCTGGGAATTGAACTCAGGACCTCTGGAAGAACAGCCAGTGCTCTTAACCTGAGTCATCTCTCCAACCCAAACCACTGATTCTTTTTTTCTTTTTTGGTTTTTTCTCGAGACAGGATTTCTCTGTATTGCACTGGAGGTTGTCCTGGAACTAGCTCTATAGACCAGACTGGCCTCGAACTCACAGAGATCCACCTGCCTCTGCCTCCAAAGTGCTGGGATTCAAGGCGTGCACCACCAACGCCCGCAAACCACTGATTCTTAATGAACAAAATGTCATGTAAGATGTCTTGGCTAAAAGCCAAGTGTAGAGGTACATACCTATGTGTCTGAGGCAGGAAGATTGGAAGTGTGCAGCCGGCATGAGCTGCGGGGGGGAATTCAAGGTTACCCTAGCAAACTTACCTTGTGTACCTCTTCAATTCTACTAACATGAATTACTAGTAAGAGTAATTCCATAGACTTACCTGTGATTCTGGGTCATGGTACAATCTTATACTTTATAATAATTACTCCTCTCTATGAATTTCTACTTGGCCTATAAGCAGTGTCCTTAGGCAATCTAAGGAAGAGGTTATTCTCACTTTATAATGAATTTTTTACCGGTACTGGAAAGCACATAATTTCAAACAAATCAGGCACAAAAGGAACATTATTCCCCTTCCTATCC